GAGAATCACCTATTCAAACCCTTGGCTCATTTTTCAACCAGTTTGTCTTTTTACTGAAGTAAGATGGGAAGCCACTGGAGCAGTGGAGTGACACGATCTAATCTACATCTTACAGATTCACTCTGACGAGTAATCTAAAGGAGGAAAACGGCAAAAGCAGAGATACCATCAAAAAGGCAAGTACAATAATCCAGACATGATAGGGCCTTGAACCACAGTGGTAGTAGTGAAGGTATGAGAAGTATTTTGAGTATAAATACATTTAGAAGCTAGAAGCAACACGATTTCCTGACAGATTGCCTGTGAATACACACAAGAAGTCCTGAAACACTCCAAAGTCTTTTGGCCTGAGGAACAGGCCAGATGGGGAATATTAAGGACTTCCTTTTGGTCATGCCAAATTTCAGGGGCTTTCTAGGCATCCACGCAGAGATCATGCTGGCAGTTGGATATATAATTCTGGGGTTTAAAGAAATCTGGACTGGAGATGAAGATGTGTCAGCTGCCTAGAAAAAGTATTTAAAGCCATGAGACAGCGTGAGATCACCGAGTCAGTGAGAGTGGAGTAGGAAAGGTTTTTGTTAAACAAATGAGAAGTTTAGTCCTCCCATATTACATATATAATTTTCTTACCTGAATTTGCAGGAAATTTTACTAATCCCATAGCTTTTATTCTATTAATTTGCCTTCACAAATATATTTTATGTGACACCTTACACTCATCTCTTATTGATATATCTTAGATCAAAAAAGTCCCATCTCTGGCTAGGCATGGTGGCTCATGCCTGTAATCCTAACATTTCAGGACCCTGAGGTGGGGTGGGTGGTTCACAAATCAGAAGATCACGACCATCCTGGCTAACACTGTGAAACCTTGTCTCTACTAAAAATTTAAAAAAACATTAGCCGGGTGTGCTGGCACATGCCTGTAGTCCCAGCTACTCGGGAGGCTGAGGCAGGTTAATCACTGGAACCCAGGATGTGGAGGTTGCAGTGAGCCAAGATCACACCACTGCACTTCAGCCTGGGTGACAGAGCAAGACTCCGTCTCAAAAAAAAAAAAAAAACTGCTGGGCCCAGTGGCTCACACCTGTAATCCTAGCACTTTGGGAGGCTGAGGCGGGTGGATCACCCGAGGTGAACATGGAGAAACCCTGCCTCTACAAAAATACAAAATTAGCTGCTATGGCGGCGCATGCCTATAATCCCAGCTACTCCGGAGGCTGAGGCAGGAGAATCGCTTGAACCCTGGAGGCGAAGGTTGCAGTGACCCCAGATCATGTCATTGTACTCCATCCTGGGAAACAAAACCCCACCTCAAAAAAAAAAAGTCCCATCTTCAAACTGTGTATGTGCCCCACAACTTCAACTTCCCCTGTATTGATAAGCTAGAAAGAAGAGACAAGTGTGTCTGGCAGTGTTTCGTTGGAACCCTCTGTTTCAGAGCTTCTGGCTAGATGGTCTGAGAGTAGAAGATATCCGTAACAGGAAACACCATTTTGCACAGGCAATGTGAGTAGTTTACAGAGGTGCTCTAAAACACACTGTTGGAACCTCAGGCTGTAGTGCATCAGCTTAAGTACCACTGTGAGACTCACTGCAAACACCATGGAATCTTGAATAAATCAAGTCTAAGACTCACTGCAGATACTAAAGTGGTATCTTAAATAAATTAAAACCTGTTTAGGCCGGGCACGGTGGCTCACACCTGTAATCCCAGCACTTTGGGAGGCCGAGGCGGGTGGATCACGAGGTCAAGGGATCGAGACCATCCTGGTCAACATGGTGAAACCCCGTCTCTACTAAAAATACAAAAAATTAGCTGGGCATGGTGGCGCGTGCCTGTACTCCCAGCTACTCGAGAGGCCGAGGCAGGAGAAGTGCCTGAACCCAGGAGGCAGAGGTTGCAGTGAGCCGAGATCGCGCCATTGCACTCCAGCCTGGGTAACAAGAGCTAAACTCCGTCTCTTAAAAAAAAAAAAAAAAAAAAAAGCTGTGTTTAGAGCTCATCTAGCTCATTTCTGTCAGTGGTTAAGTGGATTTTAGCAGAAGCACTGTCACAGAACCACAAATGGCAAGGCTGCAGCAGTGACAGCTGGAAGTACTAAAGAATTCTGCGTTTGTCAGGTGAACAAGCATACAATTTTGAGAAGGCTGTAAGAATCATGAAGCTTTACAGAGTGCGTTGATATAATTTGTTTCTCAACCACAGAGGAAGTGAAAGTGTTGAGGCAGAGGCATGGGTGCATTTGTGCTTTAAATTCGTAAGTGACATTATTATCCAGCAAAAGTTGAGCAGACGGTTTTATTATTTAATTATTCTGAGGGGAAAAATGAATGCACACACTTAAGTGAAAATTTATTCATTTGGAAGTGTCAACAGCTATCATTATTCAATTTTGATAAAGATATAATCAAAAGTGAGGAGATATTGTGCAGTCTCCAAGTGTGCTCTTCTTCAAATGGGAAAACTTAGGATTAAGACCACTTTGCCTATGTGCCTAGTATTGACCACAAGTAACTGTTTCAAAATGGTCATCTATTAATTTTCCTTGGGAACTGATTTTTCTTACGGACATTTTATAGTTATGTTGGTATTATCAAATTTTTATTTCTATTTCTGTTAAAAGTTTAATGTTACACTTAGCTTGGCAACACAAAAAATGACTAGCTTGATTTCTTTACAATCAGGCTGCCTAAATCCACCTGTAAAAAATCAGCTCTTTCCCAAATGTTTTCTGCGTAAGGAGGACGTATTATTCCTTTAAGACTATTTTCCACTAGTGCATTCTTTTCTGTATTGTACAAAAAGACTCTTCAAAATATGTAGAGCACTTTTCTTAAGGTGTCAGGTTTTTTTCTCTTTTCCAATACAGCATTTCCAATCTTCCACGTCCACCACGGGGAACATCTACCGCAGCAAAGTTGTAGTCAAGGCCTGGATTCTTTTCAGTCAGCACAACATTCCTGGACAGCGTCTCTTCAACTACAGCAAGTACGGGCTTCAAACTGGTCAGATTCACATTAAGATATGCAGACAACACTGGGAAAACTAACTTTTGGATCTCCTTTCCAAATGTAATGCACCGCAAAGTAAAACATTAAATTTTTCATTTAATAATGTACATAAAAGCCTTTCTTAAAATGTAAATAACAAGTTTTATTTACAAAGTAATTGTCCCATCACATCGCATTTGGGGTTACATGTATCACTGTTGTATGCTGGTAGTGTGGCTATTTGAAAGATTATCATTCATGAGCTATTACTCACTGGGATTTTTGTAATAAGGGATTTCATGAGACAAAATGGAAAAAAGGATTAAAATGCACAACTAATATTTATCTACTAGAGAAATAATATTTTTCAGTTGTGAACTAATTACTATGCTTAGAAAATGCTAGCATCCTCATAAATATTTTGGTTCTATCAGGATACAAAATATGATTTTGCAAACTTTGAAAAGGCACATTTTTGTGACACCACCTAAGCATTTCCCTGAGAACATAAAAAAGGTTATTAACATAACGAACCATTTCAGCCTTGAAAAGTGTATTCATTGAGGAGATACCTCAGAGGTAAAGACTCCTTAGGACTGTAAGAAAAATCTGTGGATTCCTAAGTGGAAGAAAAGAAACAACTATGAAAAGCAAGACCAGCTCAGAAATCTTCCTGAGGAAGAGATGAGATATGGTAGAACTGTCCCTGTCCCAATATATTGCTAACCTTCTATAAGCTGCTGGAATGTTTTTTCATTCCATTCTCCCATCTCTGTGAATGAGAATCAGTGGGTTATCCGCCATTCTCTAAAAATGCAAGTGCAGCAGTCGTGGGCATGGCAGTCGGTCCAATGCAGGCATCAGAGTTTCAGATGTGGAGAAGATAATCACAAGGCATTCATTGTATCTGTGATGAAATGTGATCTGCTTTCTTCTCAGCACCACATGACATCAGCTGTACTTAGAGAACTGACTAATGGGAGGAGAAACGTGGGTGACTCTGGAATATGAAGAACCTCAGGAGGGAGGATGGAGGCCCACGGGAAGGCTCTCAGTTGGGAGAGGTGAGCAAAACTCCCAGGAGGGTACCTGGACCTCAAGGGCATTAGGAGGCAAAAATGAGTGGAAAAACTAAAAGAAGAAAGGCCTCATTCTTAGGAAAAGAGGTGGAAAGTTGCACTGTCCTTCCTCCAGACTGCTCACACTATCCTGTCTCAGAGACACAAAACTCAGGCAGGCACCTTCAGTATCACAGGTCAGGTATATTAGAGTTGAACCTGCCAATGGAGGCTTGGCCTGGGAACTCAATCACCAATTGTGGAAAGGTATCTCAAAGTCTGCTTGTAAGTCACTTGTTTGAAACATGATAAAGAATTCCTTCATAAGATTATTTACTTGTGGGCAGTTTCGGAAATGGATTCTCAGTTTTAGACTATAGTCACCATGCTCTGAATCTCCAAATATATTCTACAATATTTAAACAAGCCTTTTATATGGAAAAATGCCCAACATTTGTGTCACCAAGATGAAACACTTGTATTATACATTCAGATATAGCACTATTTCCTACTGATATTTACTATTTAAATGATATTTAGGCACTACAGAATAAATAGCTCTCTTTTCAGACATAGAGCAAATCTAATAATCTATCACTTCAAATACTCTATATGTAAGTATTTTATATCAGTCTAAAGATACAAACAAGAGGTAATGCTTTAAGGCTACATATGAAGGCTACATTGGTTATTGAAAATGTATATAAACAACAAAAACACTTTTGCAAAATGTAGTAGAAAGGAATCACTATTGCCATTTTAGAAAGAAAAGCTATTACACGCCAACTAGACAGTCGAAATGGTATCCTAAAACTTCTTGCTATTGTTCTACTGCAGGACAGATTATTGCTCAAAACTGCCCACTTCAAAACATTAAGAAATTCTCTCACTTTTGTTATCTTTTCAAGCAAGGCAACATCACAATAAAAACTTTTAAAGTTAAACTTTTAAAGTTAAAAGTGAAATTTATTACAATACAATAAATGCAAGTGCCATTATTAAAAATGCTGGTTAAAATTATAAAATATCTAAGTAATTTTTCTAATATAAATATTGGAAATAACAACTTTAACAATTCTACATGTATACAGCACATTCAAAACATAAAATCATACACAAGGCCAAAAAATAACATTGCAGATTAACCCTTTAGTTACTACTTTCTATCTTGTGGTCCCAACATCATACCAGCTAATTACTCAGATCACAAGCCTCAAGGTTTAAGTGTTTTGAATGTATTTCAGTTTCACACTTTAACAATGCTTAAAGACTGTTGGTGGTATTCTGATCAGATGGTTCTCTTTCCCATATTTCCCTTTCTCAATAGATCTTAGACAAAAGGGTAAGCTGAGAAAACTGTGATTACAGGATTCAACATGACATGTACACCCATGATTCATTTAAGGGTGGCATAAAGTTATATATAAAAGACCTACAGGATGTAAGACAAAGAGTACATCAACATGTAATGAAATTAAGCAGCCCACCCACTGCGTGCTTACATGGCTCCTATATCCATTCAGGAAGGAGCCAGAGCTGTAGGTCACAGCAAACCACAACTGCTGAGGAGTAGGGGTGGGAGGCAGAGGGAAGGAGCTGAGGAGAAGTGCCAGATCACAAGGGAAATGTAAAAGAGTTACCTATCTATTCTCGCACTCCTGCTAATGCACAGGCTGGCTCCAGCCCAGCCTCCCTGCCTGCATCCCAGTGGAGCTCTTCCCCCAGCACTGCCTTTCAGATAAGAAGATATATCTGTTCCTTGCTGAGAACTTTTTTGGGATCAAGGGGGCATGTTTTGCTTTTTAACTTATTTTTATATTGACAAATTATTGTATATATTTATAGGGTACAAAATGGTGTTGTGATTTTTGAATATAAGATGAAATGATTACACTAACGTATCATGACCTCAAATATTTAACTTTTTTGTAACGAGAACATTAGAAATTTACTCTTAGCAATATTGAAATGTACATTCAATTATTCCCATATTTAGCATGCTATGCAACTGATCTTTAAAAAAAAATAAAATCACACTTATTCCTCCTAAGGCTCTGTACCCTCTATCTCCCAATTCTGAGAACACTTCACAAATTTGAGGAACAGCCTAAATATTATAGGCTTGAACATTTGAACTTGTCCTCAGCATGATGGCAGGTGAGACTTTTTTATTTTTTTACAAATGAGCAGGTAATACCCAGAGAGGTTAAGTGGTTTAGCCACTGAGAAGGTAAGGAAGTTGGGTTAGATGTTTACTTCTCTATGATGATGCTTCTCCAACTTCAATGTGCATCAACGCCTATGGATCTCATCAAAATGCCTTGGATCGAGTAGGGCTTCAGATCTTGCATTTCTAATAAGGTCCTAGGTCCTTATATGTCAATGCTCTTGGTCTGTGGGCCACACTTTGAAGAATATGGGGCTACAACACAAAGAGGGACCCACCCCTGCCTTCATGGGCCATAGAGACCTGCTTCAGTGTTATCTGCCTCTCCAAGCACATCCCCAGGCAAAAGGTTTAGATGCACTGTATAAGGGAGCAGCTGTCTACAAGGTTTTGCTAATATATTTTCGAGAGCACCATGACTAGATGAACAGCCAAACAAGTAATATTATTTGAGTAACATCATCTAAATTTGAGAGGTCTATTTGCTGAGAATAAAACTCCACTTTTACTTATGAAGCTTTCCTTAAAGTGAACATGATATAAAGATATTAAAAAACCCAGCATATTAAATTTCATAGTAAAATGCAGCATGTGCACATGTATACATATAGTATGAGTTCTAAGAAATTCAATGCACTGTAATCAGAATAAAATGCTACCACTGCTCCCAGCTAAAATCATCTCCTCTTCCAAATATAAGGAAAAACCCTTGAATTGTAAGGAAAATGACTGCATTGCCTGCTAACACAAGGCCACACGCTCCCCATTTGATCTGAAAGACAAGAAAAGAAGGATTAAATCTTTACTTCCTTCATATTGTACTCTTTGCAATCTCTATTATTTTCTGCATTAGAAACATCCAATGAAATATTACACAAAGCTGCTAAAAGGCTTAATAATGTAACAGGCAGAAGACAATGAACTGTTCAGTAATTATTCTAATTACTTCTGTGATGCTTGTTAATTAAGTCTGATATCATCCTTAACATTTTCCCAGTTAGACATATTTCTCTACTTGTTTTTAATTGACAAGGATTGCCTTAAGTAAAACTCAAGTGGTAAGATTATAAATGGTGCAATTACAATATTGGGTACTGACAGTTCTGCATACATCAACTTCTGCACACATCAACTTCTGTCACAGAAAATAAAAACTGGAGAGTTATGGATTTGTTTATTTCTTTTCTAGGCAAGAAAAGACTTTAAATAATAGTCTTCATACAAGTGAAAACTGCTTTCCAGCTTGGAAGATGATTTGTAGATGGTTTTACCGAAGCACATTTGGGGGTGAGAGTACCCTCTAGTGGGCATTTTTTTGTTTGTTTTACTTTAACCAATAAAAACGTCAATGCAAGTTTATTCACAAAACATGATGGCAGTATTAAAAGGAAAAAATATAAATATTTACTGCAGTGCTTAAGAAGTGCTGGTTTAAAGCACAAAAAGAATAAAGTCATGACAATCTTGTTGTATTCAAAAACTCTCCATCCTTCCCCATTATCTAGACCAAGTTCAAACTGACATGGGGTTCAAGACCCTTGCTAATCAGGTTTCACAAACTCTTCAGCCTTAATCTCAACAACTTTCTTTTAGCTCTACCACACTGGACTCTTCTTTATTCCATATACTGCATTCTTACACTTGAATGTCATTCCATGGAATAGCCATCCTACTTCAATACAAATGCTATTTATCCTTAGAGGCCTGTATCAAATGCCAGTCAGAATTTCTCTCTTCTTGGTGCCCCTTTGTGTTGTGGCGGCATTCTGATCATGTTTCCACTGTCTCACATAGTACACTTACAGACTCCTTACCCAGCAAGCTAGTTTCTGTGTTTCTTAGGAGCAGAGATAGTACATATCTCTTCTTCTGGTGTCCTACAAATAGCAGTTGTTCCAAAGATATTTACTGAATGAATAAATAAGACTTGCACTTATCTGGTATTCAATGGCTCAAATAAGAGTTTCATAAGATTGAAATAGAATGTAATTTGGGGGAGAATAAAATCAAATAGTAGGAAAGACAGTGAACATCAAATAATTGAATAAATTATACCTACAATGTATACTTTGGAGACAAAATTAAAGTTTTTATCTTGGAAGTGAAGACGTCATCTTATTCACTGCATTTTCTGGAAGCTACATAGTTGTCCTTCAACATATATCTATTATACTGAGTTGAGAGTTGAGTCTATAATCCCATTTGCAGAAGACGAATTTGAAATATTTTCATTTTGTAACTAGAAAAGTATTGCTAGCTATTATCTGTGGATTACTGTAAGATTTAAGAGGCAGCAATTTAAGAACAATTCCAGAGAATAGCTTAAAGCAGAAAAATAAGAAATCATATAGTCTGGCTAAAACTTGTAAGAGAAAAAAAGCATTCTGAAAACATGACCAAGCTACTGATAGGTAGGTCTAAAGTAGAGGAACAGAGGAACTAAAAATATGTGGCCTTAAGTATAAAGTCTAAGCAATGAAAATGAAATAGAGGTCCCAGACACAGTCCTCTGAAGTAAACTCAGCAACAGTAGAGCAAAACAAAGAAAATAAAACTTACCACAGCCACACGAGCAAGAATAACAGGAAATCCAAAGGCAGAAACAACAATTCCAGTAGTGAAGAAATATGCCAGTTCCCGACAGGCACTACTGGTTGCATCAGAGTCATATGTGACTCTTTTGGCAATGAAATGAGGGATGGGGGAGATGGCGTGGAAAATCAGGACGAATAAGGGCCAGTAAACGCTGTCAGTTGAACCCAGGCAAAACCCAAAAAGAAAAGTCACAGTTACACTTTAAATAAAAGTCATACTACTATTTCAAAATCATTGCTATTTTCAACGTGTAGGACAAAAAAAAAATTAGTTGTGAATATTAGAACATAAGATGATTTCTACCAGAGATAGATAAGTAGTGATAATTTTAAAATTACTAGTTCATTACTATGTAGGTAGCTTATCTTGTGTTAAGAAACTACTACATAACATATACTCTAGAAACTTTACTGTTTTCTGTACTCCTGAGCTGCAATTTTAGAGACAGAATTTTAACTTAGTCATTTCTGCTTTCCCTATAGAACATAGTACAATGTCTTGCAAAAGCGAATTCAGTAAAGATCCTATGAGTGCATGAATCCTTGAAACCTTTTAAGCGCTTAGAATAAACCCCAACTTCCTTGCCCTCACCTACAAGGCCTTACATGATCTGGTATTATCTACTTCTTCCATTCATTTTGTACTATTTTGCCTTCATTTGCTTAATCTGTAGCCACACCAGCCTTCTTTTTCTGTTCCTTGAACACTGAGCTCATAGCTGTTATCCTGGGGCCTTTGCACTAGCTGTGCCCCCTGCTTGCAATGTCCTTCCCCATAATCTTTTCATTGGCTGACTCCTTCATACCATGTGATCCAAACTGACAAATTCCTTTCTAAAAGCGGCTTTTCCTGGCCTTCTATTCCAAGGTGCCCCAGGTCACCCTCAAACATACCACCCTCTTTTAACTTTCTGCACAACAATTATTTCCCTGATAGATCACTCTTGGTCAATTGCTCTTTATCCCCAGGGCCTAGAATCATGTACTTGTTAAATGAATAAAATAACAAATAAATTTTAAGTACGGAAGACATGAAAATAAATACGCTCACTAGTAAAAATTTTAGAGGTACTCTCTCTAATCTTCAGTATAAGAGCTCACAAGTAACAGTGTAATGCAAGAGCAAAACAAAAGTCTTCTTCCCAAATTTCAATGTTTTGTAGTTATAACACAAAAATTGCCACCTGGTTTCCAGTGCTATTTTCTCTATAAATACTTCAAAAATAATATTTTTTTTCCATCAAACATTCATTATGCTTCATTTCTTAAGAAAAACCAGTCTCTGCTCATTTTTTATATACATATACCACAATAATTCATATCACCACAATACTGTGATCACACAGATACACCCAGACAGCACCTACAAGCGAGAATTGGGATGAAGCCACACCTCTAATGAGAGCCGCCCATTCCAGCCACTGATCTAGGTAACCAAAAGGCATGAAGGGAATGTGTCCTTCAAGAGGACTCAGGGTGGAAACAGTGGATTTGGACTCCTAATTTTAAACTAGAAGAATGATGGTGTGTTTCAAGAATCACCAAACAACACTGTGTGAAGGAGCCCTGAGACATTCTCCAGTTCAAAACCCTTCTTTTAACAGTGAGGAAGAAGATACAAGAAGGGAAGGGTTGTGGATTAGAAACAGCTGTCACCTGACATATCCGCAGGTAAGAACTCTTAATTCTTCCTGAAATACAGTGACAGTTTTCTGAAAAACAATCTGACTCTGTTTCCATTCATAGTAAGCCACCAGTATCCAAATAAGAGAAATGTTCATGTATAAGCAATCTTATTTATAGACAATATGTAAATACTAACTATATACAAATCAGTAAACATGTATATAGTTAATATTTGCATTTTGTCTATAAATAAGATTGCTCATACATGAACAAGCAATCTTTGGCTCTTTATAGAAAAAGTTTTCAAGTTATAAAGACTGTCTCAACTACTCAACTCTGCCAAGGATAACTGGCAGAGCAATACAAAAGCAGCCAAAGATAATTCATAAACAAATGAGCATGGCTGTATTTCAATAAAACCTTTATTACAAAAACACGTAGCAGGCCATATGTGGCAGTTTGTTGACTTCCAATATAGAGGATAATCCTGGTTCACTATCATTAAGATAGTGAACAGCTTTGGGAAGCCAAGGCAGGAGGATGACTTAAGGCCAGGATTTCAAGACCAGCCTAAGCAACACAGAGAGACTCTGTCTCTACAAAAACTTTTTAAAAAAATCAGCTAGGTGTGGTGGTGTCTCTAAAAAACAAAAATTAAATAAAGATAGAAAATAAACTTCTTTGTAGTAGCAGTAATGGGTCATTTTCTTACCTTGCAAAGAAGACACAGTGTATCACAGAGAATTAAAACTCGTAGATTTAGAGTTGGTTGTGGAATAACAGAAAAACGTTTGGTCAAGAGAGTCAGAACATGAATTCCATTTCCATGTCTGCCTTTTTTTTTTTTACTTTTTTATTTAAGAGACAGAGTCGTGCTCTGTTGCCCAAGCTAAAGTGCAGTGGTGTGATCACAGCTCACTGCAGCCTCCAACCCCAGGGCTCAACCAATCTTCCCACCTCAGCCTCCCAAGCAGCTGGGACTACAGGCACACATCACCATGTCTGGGTAATGTTTTTTTAGTTTCTTTGTATAATGGGGTCTCACTTTGTTGCCCAGACTGGTCTCAAACTCCTGGCTTCAAGTAGTCCTCCTACCTCTGCCTCCCAAAGTGCTGGGATTATAGACATGAGTCACTGCATCTGGCCTCTGTCGATCTGGGTAAGTCTTCAACTACTCTGGGCTTCAGTTTCCTAGCAGGAAATTGAGGAAAATAATACCTTATGACATTCCTAAAACTACAATAAGGTAATTGCTGTGAAGGCTCCGAACAATTATAAATGATTGCTTATATTTGGATCCTTCTTGGGTTTAAACCATTTCTGTAATTGTTGGCCAGGACTGGGGTGATAGATTTCAATCCATCAATATCATAACAACTCACTTCAGTTGGTCTCAATTATATCATCTTCCTTTTGGGGGGTGGGGGTGGGACGGAGTCTTACTGTGTCACCAGGCTGGAGCGCAGTGGCGCAATCTCAGCTCACTGCAACTTCCGCCTCTCGGGTTCAAGCAATTCTTCTGCCTCAGGCTCCCAAGTAGCTGGGACTACAGGTGCATACCACCACACCCAGCTAATTTTTTGTATTTTTAGTAGAGATGGGGTTCCACCATGTTGGCCAGAACTGTCTGAATTTCTTGAACTCATGATCCGCCTGCCTCGGCCTCCCAAAGTGCTGGGATTACAGGCGTGAGCCACCGCGCCCCGCCTAACCACATCATCTTCTATCTGGTTGTTCCAGCCAATCACCTGGGAGACACCAAAGAACTCTCTCCCCTTTTTGAACCCTGACATCAATGAACAAAACCTGTTGGTTGGTTTGGCTTCCTAACTCACTCTCCTTTTCTTTCTATTCCCACTGCCCAGCCTTCAATTTTGCTTGATTTATGACAGTAGTCCCTTACCATTCTCCCTGACTGCAATCTCGGCACTTTCCTATCTAGTCTCACATTATGGCAGGAATGACATTTTAACCTAACCCCCTCCTCCAAACCCATTCTCAAGATATTTTTCCAGCTCCTATTGTCTGAAGTATAAAATGGAACCTCTTCTTCATGGCATATAGAGCCCTAAATGCTGACTCTTACAATGTTGACTAACCCTTCTTTACCTCTCCAACTACAGCTTATAGTGTACCATAATGTACCATGTAAGGTTTCCTGAAAAGGCTATACACTTTCATGTCTCTGGGTCTTAGCATACAGCTTTCCTGGTGCCTAGAATGCTTTTTCCCCAGAGATCTATATGACCTGCTTCCTAATTTTTTTTTTTTTTTTACATTTCTTCTCACTTTTTATCTCCTCTGAAAGGCCCTCCCTGCCCACTGTCTTTCCAGCCTCTGTGCCCTTTATCTTTTGTACCACTTCTATCTCTGAGAGATGCACACTTTTGTTGTTTACTCTCCATCTCCCCCACTGAAACAGAAACTGAGAGAGCAGGACCTTTGTTTTCTTATGTCTTAATTCCTAGTTCCCGTAACAGTAGCTGGCTCATGGGAGGCACTCAACCAACAATGGTTGAATAAAAAAATGTGTATAATGTTTCCTCTGCCTGGAATGTCCTCCCCTGACTTATCAGCCTAAGAAACTTTTATCTACCAAGTCTTGGTTCAGATACAACCTCTGCCATGCAGCCCTCCCTGACTATCTCACTGAAACTCAGCTGCACTTTCTCTGAGCTCCAGCACACTTGGCTGGCATCTTCACTGCAGCTGCCACCTTACTGACTAGACTGTTTGCCTGTCTCTCACTCACAACTAGAACTGTACCTCTTTGAGAACAGGACTGTGTCTCTTCATTTGTGTGTCTCCAGCTAGTCCAGAGTAGGCATTAAACAAATGCTTAGGGAATGAACACATCAATTTTTAACAGAGCCTTTTCTTCTCCAAAAGTACACCTGACCCACAAAGAGACTGTGTCATAATCTGCACTTCACTAACTCATTGGTTAGAACTTGGTGCTAAACTGACCAAACTCTTTAACACCTATACAATAGTGATAAAGACACAGAAAGAGGAATAGTTCTTTTTGAAATGATAACTTACCCATAATCCTCTAAGGCACATCCCAGCATAAGAAAAGTCAGCCCAATAGCTCCACTGAAGGATAATGCCACAAGAGCTGTGAAAAATAAAGCTGAGAGTTAAAGTTCCCACAGCAGAAGTCACCAGGGACTAGAGGGTTTGGGGAAATGGGGAGTGACTACTAATAGATCCAGAGTTTCTTTGGGGGGGGGTGATGATGCAATTTTCTGAAATTAGAGAGTAGTGATGGCTGCACAACCTTCTGAATATACTAAAAACCATGAAATCTTACACTTTAAAAGGTTAATGTTATAGTATGTGAATCATTTATCAATAAAAATGTTTACTAAAAAAAAAAAAGAATAAAAGGTCCGAAATTCAAGCAAATGTTAACAATGTACTCATTTTATTGAGGTTACATTTGACTAGCAAATGACTCCTGTTGCAGACTGCATTCTGTATGTCCCTTTCCAATTTATGTTGCAACCCTCCTGGCTCCATCCCTCTCACCATGAGATGCCATTTGGAGGTGGGCCTTTGGGAGATAATTAGGTTCAGATGAGGTCATGAGGCTGGGGTCTTCACGATGGGATGAGTGTCCTTATAAGAAGAGAAAAATGGAGCACACACATTTTCTCTCTTCCTCTCTCTCTGTTCTCCAAGTGAGACCAGAAAGCAGGCCTGCAAACCAGGAAGCCGGCTCTCACCAGATACCAGATCTGACTGCACCAAAATTTTGGACTTCCCAGTCTTCAGAACTGTGGAAACTAAATGTCATTGTTTAAGCCACCCAGTCTACAATATATTTCTTACAGTAGCCCAAACTAATTAAGACAATGACCCCATGTCTGCCACCTTAAAATCATAAGGTATACAAAGGCTCAAGTAATTCCAGTTCCTAACTCTTATTTAATGTATGAATTCCCTCTATAATTGTCATAAGAGGCCAGCCAGTCAGTCCACACAACTCCAGTGAAAGAAAACTCACTACCACCCAAGGCAGGTCATTTAATTCCAAGTTTCTAAATGTCGAAAGCCCTCCTTTAAACAATCCAGAACTGCGTCCCTGTAATATATACCTTTGATCATTTTGCCTCCCAAAACCACAGTACTTTAAGTATTTGAAGATTGCTTTCATTCCTATGTAGGAAACAATTTCAACTAGTGTACACTGAATAAAATATTTATTCCCTGTATCTATTGGACACTACTCTCTACAGGAGTAGGAACGTATTTGCCCTTGTCATGCTGCTGACTGAGAAACAGAGTATCAGGGTTGTTAAAAAAAATCTTGAGCTGAGTCACAAATATGAGTCAAATCTTAACTCTGCCACCATCTGTTCTTATGACCTTGGGTAGAAGCTAAATCCCTTTGAATATGATTCCTCACCAGTAAAATGGAAATAATGGTGCCACCTAATTGAGCTTACGGGAATTAAATGAGATAATCTATGGAAAATGCTTGGCAAAAGGAGGTAGTCAAATAGATGCTGACTGACCTAGGTATCTTCTCATTTTAGCAATGTTCTTTGATAAGGGTAGAAATCAAAAGCATAGGAGACTGTATTATCCAAATTTTCTTCTGAAAAAAATCCATAATACTCATAATTACTATTAAACTAATTAATTAAGCTGATGAACATTTTTGATTGCTTCCTTTTACTTGAGAGGAGATTTAGAGAGACTCTCACGGGAAGATGCCAAAGAGCTTTTTAAAAACACCTGAAAGTATACAGATGTTAGGGGACAAAGAAAAGCTATCAATTTTAACATCTTTTTGCATTTAGTACAGGCCACTCTTTAATGGAAAATGCCCATGTGTGGATGGAAAGCAAATTCCACATATTATTTCATTAGATACTCTTTTCCTAGCAGGCATTCCTCCCCTCCTCTGTTTCTGACCATCTGCAGTACTCCCTCCTACATGAGGCCCGTCAAAACTAGGAAATGCAGACCTCTTCCTTCTGTTCTGATACCAACTTCTCAAGGTTCACAACCATATTTCTGTTTAATTCTTTTTGTTTTTTTTTTTTTAATCTCTCTTTTCAGGAATTACATCCTTTGGACACCTCTTAAAGTTGGAGTTGACCAAAAATCCAACCCTTTCTCATATTACACACTCCTGCTGAAAATTACAATCAACCCAGAGCTCCCAGTACCACAAGGGCCCCGTCACAACTGATGCTCCAGCCCAGAGTAGGTCCTAAAGAACTACGCCTGTACTTCCACCTCCAATCTGGACTTCTCTGTCTTGACAGCCAACAAGGACCTCAAATTCAACATGTGTAACATGTACAAAACTGAACCACTATCCCTACCCTTTAAAGGTCCAATCTAAAGAGGACTGACACCATAACTACATTCCACCTTCCAACAAATCAATGTCAATCTCCCAGGTTTGTTAAACTCTCTGCTATGGCCCTAGTGCGGGCCCTTATCCTCTCATTCCTGCCTCTGTGACTCTTGCAATCCATCCTCTACACAGCAGACAGTGATCTTCCAAATATATATATCACTGCTGCCACTGCTTTGCAGTTGCTTCCACAGCCTATAAGCTGTCTTGGCAAGCAGGCTCACCATGGTCTGGTCTGACTCACACCTAACTGGCTGTCCAGCTTCAACCCTCACCACTAAGTTCTGGTCTTACTAATGTAGCTTAAGTATCTGAAGAGAAGAAGGCATGTTGTTTCATGCTCCCTGCCACATGTCACATGCTGTCCTCTCCACTTGGGATATACTCCACCTGTGCTCCATGCCTTGCCAGGTGAAGCCGTATTGATCCCTTCAGATTCAGTGCAAGCATCTCCTCTTCTGTGATTAACAGTCCTCTTTCTCCCTGGAGCAGGGGAAAGTAATCCCACCTGGATCAGTTTCTTAGGGCTGCTGTTACAAAGTACCACAAACTGGATGGGGGAGAACAACAGAAATTTATCTTCTGACAGTTCTAGAGGCTGGACTTCTGAAATCAAGGTATCAGCAGCGCCACCATACTCCCTCTGAAGGCTGTAGGGAAGCACCCTTCCTTGCCTCTTCCTAACACCCAGTGATTGCCAGCATGGTTGCCAGCAATCTTTGGCCCTCCTGGCTTTGTAGCCGCATCACTCCAATTTCTGTCACCATGTTCACATGGTACTCACCACGTGTCTCCATGCCCAAATTCCCCTCTTTCTCTTATAAGGACACCAGTCATTGGATTAGGGCCCACCTTAAACCAGTATCATTTTAACTTGATTATATCTTCAAAGACACTACTTCCAAATAAGATCACATTCGCAGGTATTAGGGAATTAGAGCTTGTGGGAGGACAAAATCCAACCCACCATCTCTGTTCTCCCACAGCATCTGAGCCCCTATCATAAACACTCACATAGTAATATTAATTCCAGCTCTGTCATCCACCAATAACTTCTCATTTATCTTTACCCTAAGTCTCTGGCATACAGTAGTTCCTCAATAAAAGTTGAAGAATCTGCAAAATGCTTCCTTCCCTTAGACCTTTTCCATTTAAGACTTCCTTTTTTTTTTTTTTAACATCACAATTTTTTAACACATTCACACATAAACATGATCATGATTTGGTAGTTTCTGATCATGTGCAGTACTGAGACACTACTTTTCATCTGTTTTCGGCATTGGTTTCAAATGGATATATAATAAACACAGTCGACACTCTCCAAGTAAAACCATGTTTACTAAACTGATAATGAATATAAAAGTCGGCCAGAAATAATGATAAAATATGTCTGCTGCTAACAGTTCACACACAGATAAATTCAGAGTGAACACAGGCGTACTCATGCATATATAGTATCTACATGTTTATAGCAGATGTTAACTGGGAATATCTTTGGGTGCAAATTTCAAGGATGATACAAACGCCAATATAAAAACAAATCATGCTACTCTATTCGACAGATTAGAAATGGAATGGTTTTCTACCAAAATCACAGGAAGCCTTGCAAAAAAACCTTTTCCGACTCACATTGCTCTGAAGCCATACAGATAAGGGAAGCGGTGTTTTTATCAACTCCCCATGCAAAAAACACATACTACACAAACACTACTTTCTTCTCTGTCCATAGACGAACATAGAGAACACTGAAGAAGGGAGTGTTAAAATTACACCTAATCTCTCCATGACTGCGAGAAACAGCGCCTTTCTGGGTGCTTTCCATTGACACCCACCCACGCTCAACTCGGCCCAGGTGTAAAAATCATTAGGAACAAGAGGATTAAGTTTCCAAACGCTAAGAATCCAGGAGACAAAGGGTCCTTCGTAACAAACAGGAAACTACGGAGGGGCAAAAAACACGACGAAAGGCGTTAGCGTGGACACGTCAAGAAGTGGAAATCTTGTTTAAAAACTCTGGAGGGGTGGAGGGCGCCGCTCACGGCTGGGATCCGCCTGAGGTGGGGGGATTCTGGTGTCGCCACTGGAGAGTGGGAAGGCCAGCGACCTCGCAAAAAGGGCTAAGGCTCCCCTGAAACGCCGCTCCACCCGCACCCCAAAGGACGAAGGGAATGCGCGATCGCCTCCCCACCCGGAAAGGCGGGAAGGGTGGTAAGGCCGTTCCTCAGCGGCGCACGAAAGGCGCAGCCCCAGGCTTGACCGGAACGGAGGTGGCGACCACACCACAAGAGGAGCGGGCCGGGGACCGCGATGTACCTTTAACGCCCGCCATGTCTCCCGAGCTGGGGCCGCGGCTGCTTCCGGCTTCCAGCCACCGCGGGGGCAGCCCGCCCAATCCAGACTGGGCGTAGCCCAGCAGATCCCGAGCCCGCCCCGGCCACGCAGAGCCCCGCTCCCAGCTGGCAAAGGCCGCTCCTGCTAGCCTAGACCCCACCCCCACCACTCGGAGCCCCGCCCCCGCCATGCAGACCCCCGCCCCCAGCTCGCAGAGGCCGCCCCTGCTGGTACAGACCCCAACTCCGCCCACCAAGAGCCCCGCCCCTCCTAGTGCAGAACCCCGCCCCCAGCTCAGGGGCTGCACCTGCTAGTTCAGGCCCCGCCCAGTTATTCAGAGCCCCGCCCTGACGGTACAGAGCTCCTCCCCTAGCTCGCGGCGACTGCCCCTGCTGGTCCCGCCCCGCCCCCGCCATTCTGAACTCCGCTCCAGCTGGTCTAGAGCTCTTCCCCCAGCTCTCAGAGTCCAGCTCCATCCCTAAGAACCCAATGTAGAGCTCCTCCCCTAGCTCGCGGAGACTGCCCCTGCTGGTCCCGCTCCGCCCCCGCCCCCGCCCCAGCAATTCAGTACTCGGCTCCAGCTGGTCTAGAGCTCTTCCCCTAGCTCGCAGAGTCCAGCTCCATCCCCAAGAACCCGGGCCCTGCAAAGCTCTCCCGGAATAACCCTAACCCTGCGCCCTGGGCCCTCCTCCTAGATCCTGAGACCTCCGGGTAATCCTCAAGCCCTCGCAGTCTGTGGGCTAGGACCTTGGCTCCGCCCCGACCTCGGGCGCAGAGTCTCCCTCAGAACTCGGTGCACGCAGCGCGGGATCCTCCCTGAGCCTCCCTGAGAACGAAGGTGTAGAAAGGGGAAAGGGTGGAGAGGGACGGAGGGGAAAAGTTGCAGTCTATGGGAGAAGGACACTGACTCAATAACCAGTGTTATGTTCCCTGAGCCCCCTTGTGCGTGCTTGTGTGAGAGCTTGCACCTGTCTGCCTTCACGTGGCTGTGGCAGAGGACGGGTGGGGGCGTCAGAGGACAGGCCTCTTAGGAAACAACCCTCGTCAATAACTTGACATTTGCCTAGGTTTGCCTTGCTGAATAGCAACGCTTTACTGAAATTAGTGGGGTTTTTCTTTACTCCCTGGTTTAGTTGTAGAGACAAAGACCATATAAGCTTTTGTGTCCGAAGCTTTTGTGAATCTTAAAAAGAAAAAAAAGGCTATTATCTTTGTACCTTGGGACCTCAAAGTTTGCAGGTAACCAAGGCCAATTTTTAGATCTCTGAGAGCCATTGTGTACTTATCTTACAGGAATGGAGAGTTCTGTTTTGGCAAGCACAATCTAGAAGATCATAGAAAGTCTGGTCCAAATGCTTCATCTTACATTTAAGGAAAGAGGTGCAGAAGGGTAGGACTTGCCTGTCACACAACTCTTTGGAGGAGGTGGATTCTGGGGCACTTCCCACATTCTAAGGTCCACTCTACCTGAAGGTATGGTCCCTCTTCTCTTGCTTTTCCTCAGTTTTCCAAAGGACTGAAAGACAGAGGAGTCTGTGGAAACCTAGCTTCCCCTGGGCACCTGAGAAGTATAAATTCTCACCACCATCACTTTTCAGGACCTTGCTCCGTTTACTTTTTCACAATTGTACATTGAGCATGTTATTGTCTCAAGAAATGTCTATTTGTTGATTCAGTAGTGTATTTTTCTAGCTGTCAGTTTATTTTTCTAGCTCCTCTCATTTCTCCTCACCGATGGATGGCACACTCACTGAAAACATTGTAATACCTGACTCACTGCAGAAAATGCTTGGAGATCCAGTACTACACTGCACTCTTTGCTTTGGAGCCTTCGATCTATTCAAGATCATTGAGAGTGTATGCCTCTTTGGCCTAAGGATTATTTTGAGCTGAAGACAATTAGGAAGATGCAAATAGGTACAAGGTACTAGAAAAGCATTCTGCCTTCCCTCTATTTGCCAAAAAGCAGGATGTAAGTTTGCAAAGATGTACCTCCTGCCTGCTCTACCAGAAAGGACAAAGATTAATCACTAGAGATAATTGTAGACCCTTGTCAGCCTGGAGACAACACAAGAAGAATCTACATGATAAACTTTAGTGTCTAGCCTTTATCTGCAGCTAGTCTCCCATAAATTTGTCTTTCCACAATTTGCTGCCCCTAGAGACTCAAGGTCCTTTATCTTGTCATTTCTCTAAAAAATGTATTGTTCCTTTGCTAACATGCTATCTAAGCCCAAGTGTTTTGGTTTTCTGTTTTTTTTTTTGAGACGGAGTTTCTGTCACCTGGGACGGAATGCAGTGGTGAGAGTCCAAGTTCTAAACAAACGAGTTGCTCATCTCTGAGTTTTCCCACATGTTACCTACATGAACAATGCACATGTTGATAAACTTGCTTTACTTTTGTTCGTCTTTGGCCAGTCTAATGCACCGGGCCCCAGCTGGAGAACCTAAGATACATATGTCGAGGAAAAGATTTTTCCTCCTCTACAAGAGCTTGGTTCCCTATCATATTATTTCTAATACCTGTTAGAGCATTCAAGGGTACCTGCGTATCAGACAAGCCCTGGAAGTCTGTGGTTTTTAGCTCTCTTCATGTAGTGCTAAGCTAGTCTCATGGGGAAGATACTCTGTGGGGTTAAATTTCCCTCATTCCCCTTTCCATTTCCACCCACGCACTGTGTCTCCAGAGAGCCTAAATAGGGTTTGCAGGAGCCTTCCATGTCAGCCTGACTCGAGTCACACAAAAGATATGTGATTTTAGAGCAAATTGACAACACATCAGAGGCAGAGCTTGGTGTGAGCACCCTAGGCTCAGGAGCAAGATACTGACTGGAAGGTGGTATGAAACTAAAAGTTGAGGCATTTGCCCCAGGGTAAAAGTCTGGAATTAGAAAAATGCTGGGACAGTGTTTGTCTTGAACAAGTTTTCTGCCCACGCCAGCTGTCCTTTCCAGGTTACCAAACACCTTAAAGGGGAAGTTAGCTATTTTGCCATAGGTTTTAACCATCTGAAAAAATCTGCTTTTCTTTTGCCTGATGTTGCACTGAAAAAATTGTTCTTCCACTTACCCCTTCCACATTTCTCAAGAATAAGTGTCTTCAGAAACAGAAAGTAAAACCCTAAAAACCAAATCCTTCTGCCCAACTTGGCATTGGTATGTTACTTGGATGTATACGATCTGTGACCTCTGTCATGCTGCCTATGACTACAGTGGACTTATTGGGATGAATTTTAATATTCTCTCCTTGCATTCAATAATCTTGTACTGATGAGCTAGGTTTTATTGTCTCTATCTTACAGGGAAAACAAGTTCTCAGTAACCAGTGAAAAGGGAAGCTGAGATCAAGTCCCAGACTGCTCAACTCTAAAGTCAGATGGTCAGCACTTGTACTGTTCCCACAGTAGATCTTATGCACCAAGAAGCAAGAATTCTTATAGTAATTACAAATAACAGTAACCCCTTATGTTTCACAGGGCATCAAATCCATTCGCTGATTTAATTTTCTCCTACATAGCTTTTAATTTTCTCCTATGCATTATACAGAATATTGGCTGAGTTAACAAATATCAATAAGTTTACCATATTCAGTATCATCTCTCCCTATCCTCAGGGAACAAATATAGCCTCAAGCTCCATGGATAAATTTCTCCATGCTTTAGCTTCCTGAGGTAGCAGTTACAAAAACCTGTCTCTCAGAATCTTGGGGGGAATTAAATGAGAAAAAAGAAAAAAAAAAATATATATATATATACATATGTATGATAGCACCTAGGGCAGTGCACACCAGGTAAATGCCAGGATGTTATATCTACACTGGGCAGGCTTGCAAGTCAGTGCATAAGTTAAATGCAAGAATGATGCAACACTAATTGAAATCCTAAACATTAGTTTTCTTCCTAATGCTCAATCACTCCTTTTTACATAACTATTCCCTTTACAGAAACTACAATGCAAATCTCTGCCATTTTATGCAGACAGATCTTTGTAAACCGAAGGAGATCAGGAATAAGGGCCAAGGTAAAAGTAACTTTGGGTTGCTTTTTCCTACTTGTGTTTATCCACGCCCTAGAATATGAGGTTTCCATGTAATTCCAGCTCCAATACTCACCTACACTTTGTCCTTTTTACTATCAGTAACAATAACAATAATTACTATTTAGTGAGTACTCACTTGATAAGAGTTTATATACACAGTCCTTAATTCCTCCATTGCAGCATTGTTAGAATTCTATTTTACAGGTGATAAAATTAAGACTCAGAGAGTTCAAGAAATTTGTCCAATATGAGTCTGTAAGGCTTGGCATAGTGGCTTATGCCTGTAATCCCAGCACTTTGGAAGGCTGAAGCTGGAAGATCACTTGAGGCTGGGAGTTCAAGACCAGCCTGGGCAATATAGCAAGACCCTGTCTCTCCAAAGGAAAAAAAGAAAAAAAGACAAACAGAAGAAAAAAAGAAGCAGGCATGGTGGCTCCTACCCGTAGTCCTAGCTACAAGAGGGCTGAGATGAGAGGATCACTTGAACTCAGGAGTTAGAGGTTGCAGAGAGCTGTGATAGACCCACTGCACTTCAGCCTAGGCACCAGAGAAAGACCTTCTTTAAAAAAAAAAAGTCTATAAATTGAAAAACTGGGATTTAAATCCAGTCCTTTTACCTGAAATCAATATTTATCACTATTCCCAAAAACCATGATTTATCTTCAGAATAATCAAAATCTGCTGCTTGACCTAGCTTCCCGGATAGATGTTACCAGGAGGAACACTGACTTGTTGCTGTGATAACTATATCTGTAATTCAACTTTTTTCTTTTGTTGTTGTTTTTTTAGTTGGCGGCACGGTGAACCATTTCTGGAGTTACTGCAATACCAGGCTGATGTGTGGAATGGGTGGGGCAAACTCTTATTCCATCTCCCTGCTCAAAAAAATCCATTTAAAATATTGTTCTTGGATAGAAGACATATTAGATATTAAGCTGATAAAAATAGATGCTGCATTGATTTTTAGCCAAAAGGCCAAAAAGCAATTGGAATTCAACTTTCTACTCATTCCCCACACAGACTGTGTTTCATTCACAGCATTAGGATTCAACTTGAACATTCTTCCACATGTAGACAGTATAGTGATGGATCAGGTACTTTGAATTATAGCATTTGTTTCCAAAGAACTAAAATATCTGAGATTTTGTTTCTAAGATAAAGTCCCAGACTTCCAGGTTTAATCCCAGGTTTTGCCTCAACATACAAATTCATTTTTGAAAATCCTTTAATTTTCTGGCTAGCAGACCAGGATTTCTATGCTAATTCTTTTGAAACATATATCATGTAGCATAATCAAAATTGTGTGTGCATGTGCATGTGCATATATTTGTGTGTGTGTGTGTGTGTGTGTGTGTGCTGGGGCAGAAGTGATTAAGTATAAATCCAGAAATCCTGTCAGATTATATTTTGCTGCATGCTTTGCTTTTCATATTCTCTCCTCATAACTTTCCTTAAAAGTGAATTATATGTATGGAGGCATTCAAGCTCGTCATCGTATTCCTACAAGTACCCAAATAACTTAGATTTCTACAAATATTTTTGAACATTTTAATATACATTACAAATATTTTAGACCAATCACATTTTGTTGTAACATATTTACAAAACAGAAAATATATTACAATAAATATGATGAAACAGTGAATCTGATCAACAACAAGCTTTGTCACAACCAGTTATTTAAAAGGAATGCAAAAACCTGTTGGTCTGCATATATTAAGAGTTTTGAGATAAATAGGGGTCCAGAATTATTATGTATCCGGAAAAGAGATGTGGGGGGAAACCCCTAAATTTAAGTTAAGTAAGTTTTTTTCTCATTGCTAATTACACAATGTTTAATGTTTTAAACTGTGAACGTTGATGAATTATCCAAACATGATACAAAGCTAATGTAGTTCTATCATTTCAAAATACGTGACATCCACAGAATATCCTTTTAATTGTTATCATTATACACTGTAGTTCACACAATATCTACAAATGTGAATGAGAAAAAAAAAACAGGTCACAGAAACATGTCTCACATTCCAATTTTAAATAAGACAAGCACATACTGGATCAACATTATTTTATAATACGTTAATAAATAACACCTAGTTTGTTATGGTTACCTTGAACAGTTTATGACTGTTTATTTAAAAAGAGAACATTTTCTTTGAGTTTCACATTGTCAGTAAAAGATAAAATAAATAATGAACCTTTATAACAAAAAAAAGAGAGAGAGAGAGAGATCTATGTAGAACCTAAAGTATTTCTGACATGCCGCTTTTCCGGTATGCTTGCCACAAAAAATTAAAACAAAAACAAAAAATGATTGTCTTTTCAAAACAACTTTTAAAAGCTTTTCACAACATTGAGCATGAACCTTTGAAGATTAGCATGAAAATCTATTTGCCCATCTGCTTTGTGCATATATATATATGTATAATGCACATTGTATATGTGCACACCAAAAGGTATCTACTAAAGTCACAGAATAGCAAACTGCTTACCCCTTAAAATGAGAACCAGCCAAAACACTGATCTGAATCCAGCCAGTCTGAGATCTGGAAAGCTTTCATTCCTGCTTTGCTTTCACAAACATCTCTGTATGAACAGTGTTCCTGTGGATCCCCAACTACTTCTAAAACAATAAAGCCCACTGTAATAATCCAGTGGGTCTAGATTTGCCTTGTGGGGAGATGGGACCTGGTTCCTCAGAGCAGATACTGACAAGCCATCTGACTGTGTCTGCAGGTGAGTGCAGCTCTCTCACTGATCGTGCCTCATATTCTCATAACTCCCATTCAGTGTTGCCTTCTATTCTCTTACCACAACCACTCACAAACCTAGAGAACACTGAGTCCAGATATTGGTCCTGATAAATTGTGAACGAGCCAAACTGCTTTTCCAGCTAAGAACGTTTTCTTGGCTAAACAAAAGAAGAGCATTAAGCCTTATGGCAAAACTAGATGTTTCATTTAAACCCAGGTTTAGAGTTGTTATAGTAGGAAGATTTTTTTCTTTAATCAATCACAGTTTTCTAAAGAAAAAGAAAGGGTAGCAGCCCATCTTCCTAACCAGGAATAAAAATTCTGACATCTTCAGAGTCCCTATTTTCTTTAGCCAAGCATTTTCATTCATTTATATCTTAGTCAGAAAGTTGGTGGTAATCACTGGACTGTAGTTTAATCACTGGACTATTATCACTCCCCACAACTGAAGTTCCTTTATATTTGTTAGTCTTCTTGACCAAAAGACATTTACAGTATTATGCTACAGGCCTTAGTAAATTTTTACTTAAAAAAAAAAATACTTGGTGATTTCGTTCCTGGAGTCTGCATAAAGTCACTGCTCAAATTATATCCTTCCAAGAAAATCTAGAAACCATTAATTTAAACCATCACATAAATCTATGATCATAACTTTGGCTCATTAATCCTATTCTCAGACAATGTGATGGGTGTTATACCTTCATGGGTGGTGGCCTCTATTTTCCATTTCCCCAGGTAGGATGCTGAGTAGGCTCCCCAAAGGGCAGGGTGGAATGTGGTTCTGCAAGGTCATCTGACTAGAAGTTCCTCTCATGCGCTGGATCTTTTATGGTGGGAGCTTTGAGAAACCAAACATCCACATTCCTTATCAATGATAAATTAATTCATGAGTAATTTAACGGTTTAGTACTGAAAACATGTTACTGGAGTTTTTGGTTCATCTGCGAAAACCTCAGAATTGTGACACACACTAAGCATTAGCAAAGGTCTGCAGCAGAGATGGAAAAGCTCATAAATTAATATAAGGGCTTTTGGCCTTGGTTTTCAAATTCAGACCAGGCATCATTGAGCTCCATGAAAATCATCTTTGCATATTGTTCATAGGGTTGCCCAGTAGCCTGTAGAAAAAACAAAAACACATATTACATACCACAGACCAAAATTATGTTCATATTCAATTTTTCACTGCCAATATATGGGTCCTAAGTAATTGAAATGCTTTTCTATTTGGCCATTTCTCTTTTTCAGCCTCATCTATTATATTTGACCTGAATTACTATAACCTCCCCATAATGCCCTCCCCCTAGAAATGCCCAAGGGCAGTAGTAATTCACTCAAGGAGTAGACAACGGAGAGCTTATCAGGCAGCAAAAGATGTATCTCTGTTTTCCAGAAGTATCTGCCAAATGACAAATGTTCATGGCAGCCCATCTCCATTGACTGTTTTTATCTCCCATTTTCCCATTTCTAAAAAGTTCTTTGAGAATCATAATGGCGCATACAGTTTGTGGATTTTTCTGGGCTCTTGTTTCTCCTTCTCTTTTGATTCATCAAAATTCAAGCACTAACATTACTTCTCATTAATTCTCCTATTCAGACTAGTTACAAAAAATGTGGAGAGATGAAAATCGAATGCATCAAATTCAAGCCTGTGTTGCCAAGTGGCACTTTGATCAGAGCTTCATGTCACATGACTGGTATAGTCTATGTGACAGCAAGATGACTCACTTCTTTCTGAATGTGTCTATGTATTACGATGATTTTGTTTGGGCCATGAGTTAGTTGAAGTTTCTGACAACGTAGAGCCCTTAGATGTATATATACTTCAATGAAAGCATAAACTGATGTAACAATATAGTGATAACCAATAGAGTGGCAAATTTAATTCCATTTTGAATATTTTATTATTTCTCACAGATTTTACCAACTACATTCTAAAGCTTTTTCACTACCATCCAGGCTAACCATACTATTGTATCTCCAAAGGAAAGGAGTCGTCTTCTGTCCCACTCTTAGCCTGTCCTTACTGTTGTTAAGTCAGGACACAATTTATTTTTTCTCTTTTCTTTTTTTGAAGACAGGGTCTCACTCTGTTGCCCAGGCTGGAGGGCAGTGGAGATTAAGGCAGCTCACTGCAGCCTTAATTTCATAGGCTCAAGTGATCCTCCTACTTCAGCCTCCTGAGTAGCTGGGACTATAGGCTCATGCCACCACACCAGCTAATTTTTGTATTTTTTTTTTTTTAGGGACGGGGTGTTGGCATGTTGCCCAGGTTGGTCTCAAACTTGAGGAGTCAAGCAATTTGCGCACTCCAGCCTGCCAAAGTGCTGGGATTACAGACATGAGCTATCGCACCCAGCCACAATTTACTTCTGAGCCCTAAAAATTAATCACTGGGTAAATCTTACCCTCTATCCTTTAATATATAGTTTGATATCTTCTTTCCTATAATATATAGTTTGATACCCTCTCTCCTGTAATATATAGTTTGATATCTTCTTTCTTATTTCATAAAGTGTGACTATTTGTTTAAATATTCGATTTTAGCCCATAGACTTACTTTTATTAAAAATAGGTCTAATCAACCAGCACATTTAAAGTAAGACACACATGCATAAGATAATGAAGCAAGGACCTGACAAGATACACAACAGGGCAGGTTATACCCACTTTATCTGGGTGCACCACGAGGACAGCCTTTCTGTACACCTTCTTCACCTGCTCTGGTGTTACCAGGTCTGCCATGCCAACTGGTTTCCACTTGGTCTCCCCAGCCCACAGCACAGTATGCATTGTGGAGAGAAGGGCTCTGATATTTCTTTCTTTGCCTTCAATCCATTCCAGGATCTGTAAACACAAAGAGAATTAAGAAATTTGAATGCTTACTTACTAGTTCAAAAGGTTTCCACTAAGACTCTAGAAACCCCTTCTGCTCCAGCAACATCAAAACACTTAGGGCAACCTGTATAATCCAGGCTGTTTCCTCCACCTGGAATGCTTCTCCTCCTCAACCTCCTACCTTCCTTCTGGTAACTCTATCATCCTTCAAAAACCTGCTGAGGAATTTCACACTGTTAGACTTTGCCAGTTTGAATTCCTTTCTCTTCCATTCCCCACCCCCAGAGTTATACTCAATATAAACTCCATGAGGGTGGATACTGCACTAAATAAGTAACCCTTTAAAAAGGGCCAAATTCTGGGCTACTCTACCTTAAACATGTTTCTACCATAATATGTGCCACACTTTATTGTAATTGTGTGTTTATCTTTCCCTGCCATTAGGCAGAGCTGTTTGAGTAAAAGTATTGTTTCCTTTTTTTTTTTGTGATGGAGTCTTGCTCTGTCACCCAGGCTGTAGTGGTACAGTGCCACAATCTCAGCTCACTGCAACCTCTGCCTCCCAGGTTCAAGCAATTCTTCTGCCTCAGCCTACTGAATAGTTTGGATTAAAGTTGCTTGCCACCACACCGGCTAAGTTTTGTGTTTTTAGTAGAGACGGGGTTTCACCATGTTGGTCAGCCTGGTCTTGAACTCCTGACCTCAGGATCCACCCGCCTCAGCCTCCCAAAGTGCTGGGATTACAGGCGTGAGCCACCACACCTGGCCCAGTATTGTTTCTTATATATCACTGTATCTTGGAACTAAATAATGTACCTGGCACAGAACAGAGCTCAAAAAGGCTTGTTAAATGAAT